AAAAAGTTGAAACGTTGAGGAAATGTTCCCTATTCACGCGCGACCAAAAGTTTTCAAATTCAGCTCCTTAGGACCGCCTGGAGCTCATCTACGGGCACGTGAAAATTTTGGCGCGGAAATTACTAACTAGGGAACAGGAAAACTAGAAAGCTGAAACTTTATGGCAATGTTCCCTACTCATGTACGAGCAAGTCAGGTGTTTGGAAGTGCCCGGTCCCACATACGAGCGCGTGGAAATTTTGGCGCGAAAATTACCAACCCAGGAACGGGAAAAGCTAGGAAGCTGAAAGTTTCGGGGAATGTTTCCTACTCATGAACAACCAAAATCAGTTGTTTAGAGGCACCCGAGACCCACGTACGCTACATGTGAAAGTTTTGGCGTGAAGACTACTAACCCGGGAACGGGAAAAGTTAGAAAGTTGAAACTGTCGAGGGATGTTTCCTACTCGTGTATGACCAAAATCAGGTGTTTGGAAGCACCCGGGGCCCACGTACAGGAACGTGGAAATTTCGGCGCGAAAATCACTAACCCGGGAACGAAAAAAGCTAGAAAGCTGAACCTTTAGGGTGATGTTCCCTACTCATTTATCACCAAAATATTTCAAATCCAGCTGCTTAAAACCGTCCGACACTCACGTACGGACACGTAAATATTTTAGTGGGAAAACTGCTAATTCGGGAACGGAAGAAGCTGAATGCTTTAATTTTAAGGGATGTCTCCAACTCATGTGCGACTAAAAGATTTCAAATTTAACTCTCATAGTGCGGCCTTTCTCGCGGGCCAGCAACTTTCCAGTTGTCGGGTCACTGAAGTCGACATCTACAACTGACATACCGCATAGCTGCACAATTAACTTCCTGAACTTCGAGAGCCAGTATGTCACAGGGTAGCTACTGTGATTCCTTGCGATCTTGCTACGGCACGAAAAGTACAAAAACGCATAATCGAACCGGCTCGCCTGGTGCGTTCCATCCTGGGTTTTTTGTTTCTTTGGGATTTTGGAGGGGCAAAAAAGAGAATGCGAATG